CCAAAATCGCAAAGGCTTTCTCTGAGCTTTCATCACAGACAACACAGAACCAAAATATCACCCCACATTCTACATTTTCCTTATCCTGAGGGATCAGTCCATATTTTTCTGCCCTCTGCACCCAGCAAACACTTGCCCTGAGCACCTTATGGGTGATGGAAACTATGATGGTGTCTATTGGCACACATCACTCAGAGAAGGATTCTCCAGCAATTTCATGTACTCCTGAGAACATTTTTCATAAGGACACATTTTATTTTCTGAGACAAAATCAGAAGTTGTTAGGAACTGCGTCCCCTTTTCTTCAAATAAAAAAAAAAAATGCGCCTTTCACCACCCCCTGCTCCAAGAGCTCTCCAGATTTTCTAACCAACAATTTCAAGGACCATAGTTTCAGGAGTTTCAGCACTTCATGACACACAAGAGAAACAAGACAAGAAATAAGGAGAGGAAGAGTAGATGCTGCTTAAAACTTTGTTCATTTAATGAAGGTAGTAGCAAAACTTGTGCTTCTTTAGAGTGCAATCAATGAATACTAAAGATGACAGTAAACATGCCAGTTGCTGACAGCACATGGCTACCCCATAATTATGGAAAGGGTTCACTTCTCACATGACACTTAGAATCAGGGTCATAGTGTCAGATTCAGAAAGGTGTCTCAGCCAGCAGATTGTTCCATACTTTTTTCCCTCATATCCGTACCCTGAGTTTGGTTTAGCTGTTCTACCCAGCAAAAGGGAGTCCTGAGCTAGTGAAGATTTCATTCCCATTTGTAGACCACTTTAATGAAAAGCTTCATCTTGCCAGCGTAATGCTCTTTAAATTGACCATCCTTGCAGTACTTGTGCCTTTTGATCCACTGCCTCTCATAAAACTGGCTAACCTTTAAGTTCATTATGTTCTTAAAAATATTGCTATGTTCTTAAAATCATTGCTCTGCATTTAGAGAGTAAAACTATTCACCAAATTAGTATGTCATATCTGAGCTACCTACCTTTAAATTTCTAGTTTCTCCATTTAAGTGGAATTGACTTGCCATAGCACAATGAAAAGAAGATCAATAATTACAGACTCCAATTTGCAATAGATTTGTTAAACTTCACTCCCTGCTGTCATATCCTCAATAGTTATGGTCAAAGCTACATCCTCTCAATCTGTTCTAGCTATATTACATATGCCTCAGTCTTCCAAACAGACAAAGGAAATCAGCTGGAAACAGTGCACTTAACGTTATCAGTGAAGACTGTATCCATCTACATGACTGTGCCCTCAAGAGGTTACAGACAGCATAACTTCCACCTCAGTTGTCATTTCTTTGAAGCAGTCCAAGAGAGATGTCCAGGAAGCATGGTCTGAGAAACCACAGCAGCAGTTTGCCTGATGTGGACTGCAGACCACTGACATCCACTGCAGAAAAGATTGGCCTTGGGGAGTCAGACACTTCTTGTCACCCTCAAATTACCTTAGAATAAGCTAAAAGCATTGTTTTTCATGCAAGCAGTTGCTGTAATGGCTACAGAGCTGCCACGTGATCATGTATGGGAAAGAAAGACGCTCCCACAATTACAAATGGGAGGAAAAGTCTATGATGCAATCTGCCTAGTAGGAACAGAAACGCGACATGTTTTATCCCAGAGTCACCTTAAAATACATATATACTCTGTAACCAGGATCATCTGAAATAGCAAATATAGACTAAGTACATAGGAACAAGCAATATCCAAAGAGCCCTTCTGACTCTGCCTAGATCTGCAATTTCTTGCAGGTTCTGCCATTCAATTTTTATCAGAAGAGCAGATTTATGGTAAAAGCACTCATGAATAATTCACTCCCTTGAGCTGCCACATGCAACTTGGGGAAATCCCAGCTATAAAACCTTGGCACCATTTAGCTAGCACAAGCCACACTACTTTTTTACAGGTGTTATTCCACTGACCTACTTGGGAGCTATTCCTCCTTCAGAGTGCTAGAAGAAAAGGATCAGGCTGTTTGCTTACCAGCTCTGGTAAGCAAACCTCTCTGCCACGTCTTCATAGCAGTAAAAATGCTTCTAGTTTTGGACTAAGTTTTGGCTTTGGCTCACCACAGCTTCAGTGGCTTGTGCATCTCCTCTGCTCATGGGCCTCCAATAATAATCCATTATTTGTTGGCTTACTTCCTCTTCTTCATGTTTTTAAATCATGTTGAGAAACTTACTTAGATCCTCAACAGAAGGAGCACAAGTAAAGCCATAAACTAGCTACACTGAACTTGTCTTTATGTTGGTTTCTACCTTCAAGAGAAATATGGTTTATTCCAACACTCATCATGTGCCACTGAAGCAAAAGCCCCAGCAGGGTATGGGGGCAGATGCCTCAGACAAAAAAAAAGTGAAACCATTTAGCTAACACAGAGGATGAATTAATAGCATCACTCAGTGGCTGATTATTTTCCTAGGATTTTCCATATATAAAACTAGGTGGGAGTGCTTCTTCACAATTAAAAAAAAAAAAAACAACAAACAAAAACCCAAACATTTATAAGGGTTTTATTTTATTAGATCTCTAAGTGGAGACCGACTAAAATGACAGTGACTATGCTGCCACCAAGCCATATTCAAAGCCCACATCATGATATACAGCTACACCTACAACTGCATTACAGGGAACAAAGAGCTGGCATTCCCTGTTTGTAAAGAAGGTGTACAGCTCACAGCTATCTTGACATAAAACAAGATAATAATTATAGACCTAAGTTAGACATCTGAGTAAATGAAGTAATATCATTTAAACAATTAACCTACACTGATTTACGGCAGCCAGGGATGTGATGAGGGATCTAAGAAACTCCTCTTTACCCTAATATGTCCCTTCAGTTTATCCAAATTACTGGCTTTCACCACCTGGCCTCTCCCTTGTGCCCCACAGTTAGGTTTTAAGCAGGTTAAGAAATGACAGTCCTCACTTTGGTCTTTTCTTACACACTTCCAGCAGTGCTGAATGAAATGCGAGACAACCATAAAAGCCAGCAGAGGGGAAAATTAGACATGCTGCGTAACTAATTTCTGAACTGTAAGCGAAGTTGTTGGCAATTTTAATTTCATATCACAGGTTCATGTTTCTTTGAACTGCCACCTACTGAGAACAAGCATTAGCTGCTCATGCCCTTCCAGACAGGATGGAATGCCACCAGGTCAGCTTGGACAAGCTTCAGGGGTTGCCATGGTGTGCTCTGAAGGAACCTCTCACCTCCTTCTCCAGGAGCCACCATCCTGCCTCAGAGAATGGTGCATGCTATCCTGCCTCAGAAAAGGGTGCATGACTTCAGCCCACACAAGTCATGGGAGCAGGGTTCCTCCTGCATCCCCTAGGCACATGCCCACAGCTGGAGCTGCCGTATTTGCTGGGGTGGCTGTAAGCAAACAGCTGTAAGCTCCCCTGCCAGCCCTGCTCCACAGGCACACAGGGGAGCATGGTCACAAGAAAGGGGCCAAATGCAAATTAAAACCAGATGAGCCGAGACAGCAGTTGGAAAGAGGGGGTGGTTAAAGCCTGTGACAGCTCTAAGTGAAAATAGTCAGACAAAGCAGGCTTGCAGATTGTCACTGAACTGAGAACCTCCTCCACCCCCAACTGCCTGGCTGGAGCTGTATAATGGAGCAGGTTTCAAGAAACCGCAGCTCCCAGCAGAGTTAACTCTCCAGAGCAGCTGCTGCACTTTCAAATTGTCAGACAGATTAAACACAGAAATGCCTGTGGGTCACAAAGCTGAGGGAAGGGTGAAGTGATAGGGTCAGCTTGCTCTAAAGTGCAGAAACTACTCAAAAAGTTGGAGACAGGACTTCCTATGGCCAGGAGGGAGTTACAGTGGTATCATCTTGCTGAAGGCTTGGCACAGGGACCTTTCCCAGACGCAGCTGTCCTCACCAAGCTGGACAGTTAGTGGAGTTTTTGTCTTGTGCTTCCTTATAAGCTGCAGCCACGGCATGTAACCAGACTGCCCGTGCAGGGCAAGCGCCTGTTTGGAGGGGAGAGAAATGAAGGTTCCACTAAAGTGTCTTCTGGGGCATGAGTCAGGGAGCCTGGCTGGGACCAGGTGCTGCAGGGCACCCAAAAAGCTAGCACCAGCACTGCCTCAGCAGCCAAAGCTCAGAGGAACATGTTACCTTATGGGGACAAGTGCATGTGTGCAGTGGAGCTAAAGTGAGTGCCACTGATCTGCGTGTCACTGATGACAAGAGGGTGATGATTTACTGGGAAAAGTGCCCTGTAAAAAGCATGCTTGTGGATCCTATTTATTGTCTCATACCCTTCAAATACTCTTACAGTTACAAAGATGCCACACAATTACAAGTTAGAAAAAAGAGCGGAGGTAATTCTCCCACACAGTCTAGCCCATGGAGCCAACAAACCTGTGGCACCATCAGCAGGCGGCATGGGTCAGCCAGCCCAGCAGGGCTCCTCCCAGGAGATGGTGGGCCACCTCCACCAGGGATAAACAATCCACACTTCAAATCTGGGCCAAAAGCTTGTTGCCAGATCCATGCAGCTACAGAGAGCAGAGTTGGAGGGAGTTCTGCCAGTAATAGGGGTAAGAAGGAGAAAGAGAGGTTGTTCCCACACAACACAGCCTCTCCTCTGCCAAACCACAATGCTTCATGTGGATCTGTAGCCCACATGTTTCTCCAGGTACCTCCAACTCAGCTATGCTGTGATGGAAACTACAACCCACAAAACTGCTGAGAAGATGCTGGTCCACAGAAGTCACCTTGCCATGCAAGCTCTCAAAGGTCACATAACGACCAGACAGGGACTTGAGTACAAGAAATCACAGGCCACTGTGTCTTTGGGCCACATTCAGGCAGCCACACAAGCAGCTCAGTCGTTGAGGGAGGGAAGTGGTCTCCCTTGCTAGGAGAAAGTTTGAATCACTCCCTCCTCTTCCCAAAGCACCAGAAGAGTCTCCACATGAGCAAACAGACAGCCTGGACATCCCCATCCCCTCACTGCAAGAGCACTTACCCCCCAGGAACTGGATTCCTCCTGCCACCCTGCCCACAGTCCTGGAGATGAGCTCGGACACACAGCAGCCCATGAGCGCTGTCAGGGCCACCAAGAGAAGCAGCCCGCAGCCCAGGCCCGTCACCACCGTGCAGATCCTCCACTCGGCGCTCGGGATGGCCTGGAAGGAGGCGTAGCGGCCACACTGCTCCACCATCACGGTCATCTGGCGGCTCTCATCCCGCACCGGGTAGGAACACCTCCGGAAAGTGCCGAAGGAAACAGACTTCTCCAGCTGAGACCCCAAGAGCCAGTAGGGCATGAAGAAGCCAACACAGGAGGCAGCAGCGCAGAGGAAGGAGAGGAACGCCCAGACGACGCCGGCACAGGTGAGGCTGGAGGCCATCTTTGTATCTGCTCCAAGACCCCTCACGATGGGAAGACACAAAAGTGACTGTGTATTTTAGAGAAGCTTTATGGATAGTCTGGAATCTCTCAGCCTTGACAAATCCTCACACTGAGAGAAACTTGGATCCTAAGAGCCAGGGGAATATTTCCTCCCATCATGAAGTCAAAGGTCCCTAATTAAATAACAAAACACAAAAAAAGGAGAAAAACACAAGTTCAGTAACACTGACATTAGAAAAAAAATTTGTCTGCCAGAGTGTTTTTCCTTTCTAGAAGACTTCTAAAGAAGACATGTCACTTTTCTGTCCCCAAGTAGACCCTACAATCACTCTTAGTGACACTAGCTTCTGTGGTCAGTGTGATGGTGGTGACCAGCAGCCCAGCTGGAACAGGCTGCTGTGCACATCCAGGAATGCTCTGCACTCACCTTCATGGGTCCCCTGTGTACTCGCCTCACTTTTCTCCACTGTACGTCCCAACCTTTTCAGTACTGATAGACAAAACAGATAAGATCTTGCTTATCCTTAGTTAGCTAGACCTTCCTCCTGCAATGCCTGGAGAATGTACTTCACTTTATAGATGATCCTGCAGCTTCAGTGCAGAACAACCCACAGCAGCTAAGGCATTTCAAGATCAGACTCTTGTGACACAGGTAAAACTTATTAACACACCCTCAAAAGAAGTGATGTGAGATGACATTTTTTCCAGCACTCCAAATTGTTTGGAATCCCTGTGCAAAAGGAGCCTTTTATCACATGATGTCCCAAAGTGCCACCCCAGGTGGGCTTCTGGTAAGTGAAAGCGTTGCCACATCTTTTGGATTTGCCCCTATACAACCTCAAGGAGCACACAATTAAAACACAGAGGTCTCTCTTAATATTCCTGCTTGCATTCAGCCCAGCTCTTCTTTGCTTCTTCCCAGCTCAAACCCAGGAAGGAGCCATAACCCCTTTGTATCCTTCTCAGACAACTCCCAGCCTCTCAGCTCAGTATCAGTGTGCCCAAGTGCATTTGACTGTCACAGAAACCTACATGCTGTTCCCAGAGGCTGGGGGTGTATTTCTCATTAAATTCATGTTGGATCATTATTCTAACTGCATTTGTAAATTTATGATCATTTCTCACAGTTGCTTCCAAATTAATTCTGATAGCTATTTACAGGGGCTTTTTCTTTTAAGCATGATTAGACACCAATCAGTGAATCCAATTCATGAAAAGGCAATAAAATGAATACTACTTCAGCACAAGGAGGGAATGTAGAGAAAGTCTGTAAGTGAAATTAGCCATGTGCACCACACAAAAGTTTTGTTTACTTTTAAAACACTAAGAAAGGGAGGTATCTTCTGTAATATTAAAAAGGCCTATACTGCTACTGAAGAAGAGTACACCTATCTACCCATAGCCTACCCACAGAAACGTCTTTCAACCTGCAAACTGCCAAACCCCTGGGGATAAAAACTTGCCAGAGAGGCATGGCGGGGGACACCATTCTTCAGAAGCATCATCTAGAGAAGGATGTGTCTGTGTCTTGGCGTGGCACCAAAAGTCTAAGCCAAAATGGGTCACAGCACTTAGGGGAGATCATTCCCTGAATCGCAGGAGGCGGTACGGCTGGAAATAGGGGACAACATGGAGTGTCCCAGGGTAGGACACTGCAAATTCTGCGGCTCCAGCGGGGCAGCAGTTAGGCTCGCTGGAGCCTGCCAGCTCACAGCCTGGGTGCTCTATCGGGAGGCGGGCTCACCCCTCCGGCCCCGAAACCCCGCTCCCCGCCTTCCAGGGGTAGGAGGGGGCGGCGGAGAGATACGGCTTCCCCCGAGGGAAGGCGGCGGCCAGGAACCAAAACTCGCCGGGGTGATGCCAGGGAAAAACTGCGGGCGAGCGGGCGCCGCGCCCGCGGAGCTAGCAGGGTAGGAGGGTGCCGGGCGGGGCGGGCTGGGGTGCAGGGGACCTGGGAAGGGATCCTAGAGGGGCAGGAGACACGGGAGGAGAAGGGGTTTCGGGGACAGGGGGTCCAAGAGGGAGGAGCGGAATGGGAGGGAAAGGAGAATGCGGCCGGGGACGGGCTGGAAAAGCAGAAGTGCCGAGAGTGTGGGGAATCCCAGTACCCAAGAAGACGGAGAGCCGGAAAACTGCGGGGCCGGGAAGGGAGAGCGGTCCGGAGTGGCTTACGGGAAAGACGGGGGCCCGGGAGAGGAAGGATTCGAGAAGACAAGAGGATGAGAGGGCTGGGAATCCGAGCAGGCAAGGGAGTCTAGAGGGTCCAGTGCAACGGGCAAGGGATGCGGCTAGGCTGGGTGTCAGAGCGGGGAAATGGAATGCAGGAGAGAAAGAGGGTCCGGGAATACAGGGGATGTGGCAGTGCAGGGTAGGGAAGGGTCGGAGAGGGAAAGGACGTGCTGAAGGCTGGAGAATCCGGAGTCATGAAGGGGATGCAACGTACCGGGAGCGAGGGAGGGCAGGGGTTCGACAAGGGAAGGGGGTGCAGGGAGTCTGTAAGGAGCAGGAGATTCAGCCGCGCATGGAGTGCGAGAGAGCCGGTATCTTGAAGGAGCAGGAGCGGCGAAGGGTCTAGGAGCGCCAGGATGGGGGCAGGCGCAGTGCCGGGAGCGAAGGGCTACTTACGGACACGCCGGGCGTGGAGGCTGCCCGCCGCGGCTGCCGGGAGCACATGGGCGCGGGGCCGGCGGGTGGCGGCCGCCCCAAGCGACTCTACCCGCGGTCCCGGCGCGGAGGCGACGCGGGTGCTCCGAGGCGGGCGGGACCGGGACCGGGACCCTCCCCAGCCTGGCCCGTCCTTTCCTCCGCGCGTTCCTCTCTCCCCCCGTTCGATTCCTCGGGAGGCAGCGCACTCCACCGCCTCTCCTCCCCCTTCCCCGCCACCGCCTCCCCGGGCGGGACCCGCCGCGGTCGGCGCAGTTGCGGGGCCGCGGACGGGGCCGGGGGCGAGGGGCCGGGCGGCGGCGGGGGAGCGGCGAACGGGAGAACGGGGGCGCGTCCCCGAGCCTTCACGGGGCGGGGCGGCGGTCCCGACCCGCGGGGTCGCTGCGGGGGTGGGTCCCGGTTTCCCGAGCCCGCCCTGGACTGCGACGGGAGGGGTGTCGGGTCCCGGGGCCGGAGCGGTGGGTCCCGGGGCCGGGTTGGTGCGGGGGTGGCGGCGAGCGCTGCGGCGTCGCCGGGCTCGGCAGCTCAGTGCGGGGTGCAAGGGGCGGTGAAGCAGGGGACGGAAAGGAGGAAAGAGCAGGAGAGGAGGGGGGGGAAAGACAGCGAAAAATTAGTATTTTAAGGAAAGGAGGAAGGTTGCAGTCCTTACATGGGAAAATATGGGCTGATCTCCTGATGGTGTGCGTGTGATAAGAACTGTGTCTGTCTCTGCTTGCGAGCTGCTGATCCAGCATTTTGATCGCAACAGTTCCCGAGTTGGTCTACAGAGAGAGTAAATGTGATCACAGTACCAAGCTGCTCCTCCCGGACGGGTTAGGTCAAGCGGAGAAACAGGAGCTTCAGCCTTTTCCCAGAGTGTCTTAAGTGGGAAAGTTTTGAGGAGGGGTTGACTTCTGCACAGAGAACCTCCGGGAGAAAAAGATATTTCCCATTCTGGTTTTTCCTCTACACCCAGAAACATTAATATATTTCTCAGATACAAGACAATTTTATGACAAGTTTAAATTATGTCAGCAGTAGACATGCAAAATCTCCTTGCTAATGTTTCTTTTACAGTCCTGGTGTGTAATCTAAACACCATTCATTAATATTAGTAATGCTAAATTGAAGTGAGGTTTATTGCACTCAGTCTGCATTTACACCATTTAATAGTAATAGCAGTTATTTTCAGAATTTAATTACAAAGTTGCTTTATTGTATCTTTAAAATTAGACTTCCATTTTTTTCTCTGTAATGCAAAGTCTTAAAATCAGATTATTACTGAAAATGCATACTTTCTCAAGGGATAAGAAATGGATTGGAAAGTATCTAGCATGATAAAGTTTTCCACCCTAACATTTCAAGTGTATTTAAGGAAATGTGCTTCAAAAAAATCAAAGAAGTGGGTTAAATGTGGGCTGAATGCTAGAATATATGCAATAAAATACTCCACAAGGAAGACAATGAAGACATAACCCCAAAGCAGCCATACCAACAGCTGACTACCCCTAGGCTACATCCACCTAGTATACATCTATATTAGCAAGTAATGGGGATCAATCTGGTGTTGGATCTCATGTTGTTGAGGGCCCAAGTGATGTTAACACTTTTCAATAGTTTTTTCTTCAGTTTTAGTCCTGGCTAGGTCTGCGAACTGAGGGCCCCATGAGAACTCAGAATGCATCTGACAAACTCCTGGCACCTGTCTTTTGCTATATCACTGTCTGAATCCACACTGTGTACTCACCTCTGCTGGGTAAAATAAAACGTGGTAAGTGAGGATGATCTGGAGATTCACTTCAAAAGCACACCCTTGATCCACACCAAAACATGAAAGTGGATGTGCCCACAGGGTGTCAGACAGAAAGGGAGCTGGTATGACTTTCCCAAAGCTGAGAGCTGGAGCCTGCTCCACAGCATACCACTCCAGCATCCTCGCCTCAAATCACCTTTCCACCTGGTGTTGTGCCTCCATCCCCACATACATGCACGAGTTCTCAGGTCTCCACTTCTGCAAGGATCTATGCACTCTTCAGAGAGTGTAGACACTTCCTGTTTACCACTCACACATCTTCACTTGGCTCAGTGTGGTGTTCTACCCCCTGCTATTAATTTTACCAATGACTGAAATGACAGGGATACTAAGCTAATACTGTGTCAATGGAACTCTGCTCTTAGTGTAAAGAAAGGGAAAAATTGGGTACTGTTATTAAATGGTTGTTTAATTGCTTAAAGCCTGAGGTCTGTCATTCTTTTCTTAGCCAAAGGCCTGGGTTATAATGAAACTGTGATAAATATGTCTAAATTAGGCATGTGTTGGGATCAGACATGGGTAGAAATTGCCTGGCATTAAAATGACTGTGGAAAAACTTCTGTTTCACACATGGAAACTGTTTCTCAGTTAAAATTGGCATTGGAAGCCTAGGGAGAACCAAACAAGCATGAATTTATTCATGCAATTTATCTCTTCCATGGTATATGCCAAGGTCCCCAAGTCAGTGTTTGCTTTGCTAATGGCATCTCTACAGCAGTTCATTTATTTGCCTTATATGGCCTGTACATTCACTCCCTGAGCTGCTGCCATTCTGCTTTCTCTCATGGAAACTGTACATTGAATTTTGCATCTCTCCTGAAGCATCTTATTTTGCCAACTGTCTCTGAATGCCCCCACAAGCTTGCTTCATGGCTTAGTCACTTGCTGGGAAATAAGCTTTAGTTCACAATTCATTTTCTGTCCAGGGAGTTTTGTTTTGATTAGGAACAAATTAAACACATTGTGTTTATAAGGTAACATCCAAATTCTTATTCCATTTTTCTCCTAATGTTTAAAACTCATCATGCTTCAACTGTATCAACATTTGATTCGCCTTTTAGGATGATTGTGCATGGAAGTATTTTACTTAAAAGTTAACTGAAATATTTCTATCCCAGTCTAAGCTGTTCAAAAGAAAAGGGGAGCTATTACATAGTGCTTTAGGATTCACAATCTTTCTTGCTACCACAAAAGCAGATACCTCCTCAGAATATATCAATAACAAAACACGTGGTCCCCAGGATCTCATCTACACTGAAATAGCAGCTGGTTTTAAAATTGGTCCTTGTGTTTTGAATTTTAAAATAATCCACTTGTGAGAAATCTTCCTAGTTGGTCAAGGAAGCCTGAGCCATGGATTACCCTCTGCTGCAACCACTGAAGTCAGACTGAATCAAACACCCATGAATACATTATCAGAAAACTACCCTAGCAGGAAGATGGAAAAATGCTTATAGATTTTACCATTTTACTTGTCCTCAATCCATTGACTAAGTTGCTGTTACAGCTGGGGCACAACAGACTTGATGGAGCTAATCAGCACAGCAGAATAAAGACAGAAAATCCTGTCACTGCACCTAAATCAATCCTGGCTAATATACACATCACAGGCTCGACCACAGACTCTTTCACTACAGTATGACTTGTAAGAAAACATAAAATGTCATAGGGGAATATGCATGTTCCTGAACCCAAAAGAAAATGAAGCAGCTACCAAACCTCCATCTCATTCTTCAGTCTTTGCCCAGAAAATGAACCAAAAGAGTCTTATCTTTCAGGCCACCATATGTTTTTGGTTGTGTGGTCTGCAGAAAAGTAATCACACCAGCATGGTTCCGAGCATCTCACAAAACTTGATCTTCAGGTCGTGTCTGTACTCGATTTTAAATGAAAAATGACAGTATACATACAAAAATAGACTTGAGGCTATGCACTGGGAGCAACAGAAAGTCAACCCAATTATTCAAATATAGTCACTGAAAACCAAACAGACAAGTACTGCTAGAGAAATACCCTGATAATTAGTATATTTGCCTGAAATTATGCCCAATCTTGCAGCAGCTAGGGAAAAAAATCAACTAAACATCAAGGAAAAGAGAACCTCAACTCAAACACCTGAAAATTTCTCAGAGGAAGGTAAGAAAACAAATTCAAGTGACCAGATCCTGTCCATCTGTATGGTGTCCTTCCAAGCCAAATAAATTGCATATTTTCTTCTGTGGGTGGAACTAGACACCTGGGGTTTTGAGCTGTCCCATCCAGACCTGAATTTTGGCCTATAAACTTAGCTCTAACCAAAAGATCCTCTCTCCACTTCTATTTTAATACTATCCTATCATCAACGCTTATTTTTCTGGTAGTTCTAATAGTGGTAAATTTTGTGAATTCTCTTACAAACAATTTATAACAAAACTTGCCATATTTCTGAAAGACAGTTGTCTTACACAATGCTGTTGTTGCTAACATTGGTCTTTGAATCTCTGGGTGCACATAAAAATAATATGTCAATGCAAAACAAAAGAGGAAAACAATATTATTTGCCATAAACCCTTTGCATGTTGTTTCATCTTTATGAAGTTATTATTTATCATCTATTATATAAAAGCCACCAGGTACTCTACATTCTGCAAGGCTCTAAAATAGTAGCTACAGCTATTGATTTTCTCTTTTGTGGCCTGTTGTTGACAAGCCTGGTGGCTGTGGGAGAGGCCAAGGAGGTTTATTCTGCACCAGCCCCTTGGCTGAAGGGAGGAATGCCTGTTCTGCCCTTGCAAACACGGACAAAGTGACTGAACTCTGAGATAACAGGTCCCAGACCCATTCTCCGTTACCTGGAAATTGTCTTAGCCTTGCACAAACTCATGAAAATCATGGCTGTTTTCAATCCTTAATTTGACTTCTTACAATAAGGAACATCTGGATGATGAACGAGTGATTTCCCAGCAAGAAATGCTCATCTACTGGCAGCCGGCTTTCTGTGCATGTAGACCCAATACAAATAATTTAATAGTGTCATCTTACTTATGAGTGGGACACCTGTCTATCTGCCCCAGATGCTGGTAAAGGAGGATGAGAGGAACAGGAACAGGAGCAGGACTTGCCGCGGTGCTTTCTCACACTAAGCGGCGGGCGCGTTTGGAGACACGGGTTTGTTTAAGGACACGTGCAACAGAAAGACGCTGTTTCTTTCCGCTTCAAACCTCAGTTCGGGTCCAGCTTTCGGCAGGCGGTGCCGGTTTCCGCGGCGGGCCCGGAGCGCCCCGGCGCCCCGGCGATGTGTGCCCGGGGCGCTGCGCTGCGCTGCGCTGCTCGACAGTGACACTCGGTGGGCGGCGGGGCCGGAGCAGGGCCGGGGGCGGCCCGGCCCCTCCGCAGCGTCTGATGCGGCTGCAGACGAGAAGGGAGTGTGTGTGAAAAGCGGGG